GACAGTTACCTCCATGTGCTGCAGACGTGTGTTATCCCGCAACCCAAGCAGCACAATGAGTCATCGATCGTCCTTCAACAAGATGGCGCCCCACCCCACTACTCAAACCAAGTGAGAACTTACCTCCGAGAGCAATTTTCTAATGAGAGAGTCATTGCTCGTGGATTCCCAAACTTTTGGCCCGCAAGGTCACCCGATCTCACACCTCTGGATTATTGGTTTTGGGGAATGATCAAGGCTTGCGTATATCATGAAAATAAACCGAATAATTTGGTTGGGTTAAGAGCAAGAATTGAAGAGGAGTGTGCACGAGTGACGCTTGAAGAAGTTAAACATGCTGTCTCAAATCTCATACCACCTCCAACTTGTCATAGAAAAAAGAGGTGATTTTCAACATCTTTAAAGTAAACCTCCATAATGCGCGTATGTTTGCGTGAGAAAATAATAACTGTTTCAATTGTTGTTGTAGTTTTAACATGAGTATTATTTTTTGCGTTTATTATGAGACACTCTGTACTTGAGTTCAAAGACTACAGGTGTCATGCTCATCAACGCACTTTGCATAGGCTCAACTAAATCTTCCGAGTTGGAAGTCGGAATCTGTCCCGGTAACAATCATGTTTGCAATGTGGGCAGCGAAGCCTGCTCCAAAGGGCGGGGACCTCGCGCGAAAGGGAACATTTTTGTCTGCTCAGAGAGAGAGACAGTATAGCTTGCTCATGGAACATCTCGCACTGCTTCTTGGCTTACTGGAAACGCCCTTGAAGGGTCGCTTGTGTTTTTCTTTAGTTCCGTTGTGCAAAGCTTGTCGTACAAGAAACTCCCGTTTTTCTATCAGTGCTGAATTGCTACTTATGCTTATTATAAGTAGTTCTGGAGAAGATGTAGTCCATACAATGCGTGAACCCTCGATCTGAGAAGTCGCCACTCGGAGAGCCAGTCATCATGTGACCAAAGGGATGTGAACCCCGTGAATGAACGATGAGTGGAGTTACATTCTGTTTAAGCGCGAATTGCTCGCATTGTTAGTCATCCTTCAACTACTAAACAGAAGGATGCGGGTTCGAATCTCATGGGGCTTTCGTGAAATGATGCTCACCGCTTAAGAAACTGCTTTGCAATGCCCTTTGGCTTTCCGACAGAAACAGACTCCACATTCCGGACGATCTCTTCTCCTACTACCAATAATAGTGACCACATAGAAATCCAGAGAATTCGACAATGGACGACGCTGAACAAACCTACATTTAGCGAATATACACTCATTTGCAAACTAATTTGGTTTTTCCAGAGACTCACCTGGAACCCAGCTGAATCTCTCGGTTTTCATGTTTCCAAGCAACTGAATGTGCTGCATCAGGCCGCCTCATGTTTCAGTCGCTACTATATTCGTGATATCGCGATACATCTATATATTTATATTTGTTTGTTTAGTTGTTTTGTTTGTTTTGTTTATATTCGTTTCATTCCTACACAGAAGGCAGTATCTGCTGTAGATTGTCACTCGTCCTCAAGTTTTATTTTCTTGTTAGCGCATTCAAGGTTTCGTTCTTGGCTACAATATAGGGCACAAGGTTAGTTA